GGGGGGGGGGGGGGGGGGGAAGGGGCAACAAGGTTTGCGGCTGTAGTGACGGGCGGGGTGATACCACAGAACCACAGGTTCGTGTTAAATCATATCGAAGAACCTTTTGATTCTGCCGGGGAGTGCTCGGCAGAAACCCTTGCTACTATACTTGCAACACGCCGGTTTGGTTCGCACCAACAGGTCTTCTCCCTTTCGTTCTCAGACTCATCGAGCGCTTAAACCAAACTCTTCGAAGCACATGGCTCCACAAGCACCGACCCAAGGCCCGCAGCAAATGAGCCGCCCCCTACCCAAACCCTTGCTTGATCGACTCTATACAACCAAGCCTCATGCGCCCGACCCATCCCAACCCCAACAAAAACAGGTCAACACGCACCCGTAGGTTGCATACGTTAGACAACACACACCCTGGACCGAAGCTCAAACCCCTACAATATTATTCCACGACGAAAAGGGATGATACATTTGTCGGAAAGCGCTCGACGAGACGGTTCCAACGCCGCCCTTTTCGGCACCGTCAAGGTTTATCCTGCGCAGTAATCGAGCTTTGAAAATCGGTCCTAAAGGGGTGTGATACCTCATGCAACCTACGGTGTATACATATCGTCTCCCACAAACCAATAAACCAGTAACTATTTCACACATCCAACGATAATCACATCACCACCCAAGCAGCAAAAACCGAACGTGCCAGCACACGGCAGTCTTTTGCCTCCTTTGGAACCTCACTTTTCCCGAATCCCGATGGTGCTTTATTCCGACCCACCTCGCCAGTGACTTGGGTCGCGACGTGATCCACCGCGAAAACGCCTCCCCCCAGGCTGTCCTTGAAACCGCCGCCGGTTACAGCTCCTTCCGAGGCCAAGACGGCGTTGTGGTCGCCGACCTAACGAAACAAAAACCGTGCACATGGACGTGGCAACGCGCATTAGGCCGGCTAAGACGGGGAATCGGCTTGCGAACGCAGTGCTCGCGGGCGTCTTGCGGCTTGCTGAAACCAACACCCAGCTTGTTGCTGTCATGTATTTGAGTTGAACGGGTCCAGGCGCCGTTCGCGTACTGCTGTACTCGTCCACGGCGGCGATCAACAAAGGTTGGGTCGCGTTGATGTGGTGGCCACGGGACTGTCGTGCAGCGCCAACCACAATGGCAGCAGGGGTTCCCTGTTCCACCAGAAAGCGGTACACGGGTGTAACACCAAGCAAGCTACAATCCGAGAAGACTCTTTGGATCACGTATTTACCGTCGCCCGCTGGCGACACAATACGGTACGATGCTGACGGGACTATTCCGCACCGCGGAAAGCACTCGAACCTGGTGAACCGCTTCTTGGCCGGGGAACCAAGCGGCATCCGGTCCTCACTGGGAATTTGCGGTATCTCGCCCTCGTGGGCGCCAGTCGCTGGAACTCTTATTCCTACCTCTCAGGAAGCACTTGGCTGTTGTTGCCGTCTCTTACTCATGGATCGATGCACCCAGCTTTCCCTTTTTCCAATTATTGGCCAAAAGCATGAAAACTTGCTGGGTTCATGTTTGGAGCCATGGCCTTCGCTAAGAAAAGTCAATCGAACACCTCAACCCCCCTACCTCGGCAATGACGCCCTCCTGTGCGTTGTAAGCTTTGGCCACCTCTTGGGCTCTCTCGTCGTCAAGAAGGCCCTCCGGCAGCAGCTTCCTAATGTCTGGTTGGTTTCCACCACAAAAAAAAAGGGAGCAGTGTGGGGAAGCGACCGGACAGCAGCGTTACAGGTGTGCATGTGCGTGCATCCCCCCTTCGGCAGCAGCTTTCTAACGTCTTCCACAAAAAAACGCGAAGAGTATATGGGGGAAGTGACCAAACAACGTTGCACGCGTTCGCGTGCGTGCGAACAGGGCGAAGCGGGCGAACAGAAGCGTTACAGGTGTGCCTGTGCATGCATCCTCTGGCGTCGGGGGCACGCGGCGACTGATCCCAGATGCTTGTCTTCGCGGGAAGAAGACCGAGAAAGGAGTTACCGTGAGTTTGTGGAAGATATTACACACACCCCCACCGGTATTTTTCAAAGCTCGATTACTTAGCAGCGAAGACGGCGACGATGCCGAAAATATCCGCCTTGGAACCGTGTCCACAAGAGGTCTTTCCGAACAAGTGTCATGTGACTTCAGCATCTTCTTCGTCGCCGAGCAATAATAGAGGCTTGATATCACGTCCAGGGGACGTGGTATCTTCTGCAACCTGCGGTATTTGTCCGCGGGATTCCTTGGGGAGGTCCGCCGCGGAGAGTGCACAGAAAAGAGCGCACTCTTGCACGGGTCCGTTTCTTTCCGGTAAAAATCGATATCTCGCTGGAAAATACTCAACCGTTAGCCGTACAAGTACTTATCGGAACAACACCGTATTACGAAACCCAATCCTCGCTCTCGCTCTCTCTCTCTCTCTCTCTCTCTCTCTGTGAATCTATCTCTCACACACACGCACACACCTGTTAAAAACCTCTCTCTCTGTCTCTCTCTCTCACACACCTGTCAAAACCTCCCAAAACTGTCCCGGCGGGCTGGCCATGAGCATGTGGGTGGCGATCTCGAGCTTTTCGGGGTCGCTGACGGGTTCCACCGCGTATTCCGCGTCGTCCACGTAGTCGGCCATTGTCTCGACCTCAGTAAGCCTTCACAAGGTTCTTGCATTAAGCAAAAATGTTGGGGTAAAGCACGCGATCGAGGCAGCTAGTTAGGTTTGGGGGTTCGGGTTAGGGATAGGTAGGTCTGTGTACCCTTGTTATATTGCCTCATAACCTTAACCTTGAGGCGGTCCCTTTTGACCTCCACTACTTGGAGAAGGAAGGCTTTTTCTCGATCGATCGGTCGATTGAATCTGTGTTGCCATCAGAGAGACAATGGGTGGACGGGGACAAAGCGAGTTCATTGAACTGCCTCGCTGTAAGTGCATACTGGTACTTGAATAATTGCATTCCACATTGCATGCAAGGCGTGGTTTGATTCGGGGGGTCGTCATCCCATTTCATCTCTGGCGTACTACTACATGTACTAGGGACGTGAATATATACGTGAACAAATCTTGATTACTCGAAGTGTATCGCTACCGTATCAATCTTCGCCCTGTCATAACGTCATAATCCTCTCATTCGGTCTCTACCGCGCGTATCTACTGCTCACACGATCCAGGTCATCATTTGGCGTCGATGTACGGGTTCCTGTTTTCAAAACCGTATGCTCATGCCCTGCCAGAAGTAATTGCGCCGCATTCTTCTTTCATTTATCCTCCGGCTGACTATTTACTGCATCAAAACAACGTGTCTCCCATCCCACCTCGCCAGGTCACACATACGCCATTCGTTGGTTGACTTTTACAGATGCGGCCGCATCGAAGGTTATATACATATTTTGACCGTGTAACGGAGGATCCATCTGTAGCTGGCAGACATGCATCGGACGATCGGCGCAACACCTACTGCTGTCAATTTTATGGTTGATGGTGTAGGGAAAAAAGCTCAGGCCACCATGTTGTAACCACCAACAAGAAAGGGGTAAACATCTTGTTCATGAACGCAGCATTGCGTTATCAGAAGGGCATGTACAGCCAATTACGAGTGTGTCGCGAAGGTTCGTCGACTAGACTAAACCTACGAACGTGCTCCTCGGCCATTGTCTCGACCTCAGTAAGCCTTCACAAGGTTCTTGCATTAAGCAAAAATGTTAGGATAAAGCACGCGATCGAGGCAGCTAGTTAGGTTTGGGGGTTCGGGTTAGGGATAGGTAGGTCTGTGTACCCTTGTTATATTGCCTCATAACCTTAACCTTGAGGCGGTCCCTTTTGACCTCCACTACTTGGAGAAGGAAGGCTTTTTCTCGATCGATCGGTCGATTGAATCTGTGTTGCCATCAGAGAGACAATGGGTGGACGGGGACAAAGCGAGTTCATTGAACTGCCTCGCTGTAAGTGCATACTTTGAATAATTGCATTCCACATTGCATGCAAGGCGTGGTTTGATTCGGGGGGTCGTCATCCCATTTCATCTCTGGCGTACTACTACATGTACTAGGGACGTGAATATATACGTGAACAAATCTTGATTCATATCGCGTCCGTATCAATCTTCGCCCTGTCATAACGTCATAATCCTCTCATTTGGTCTCTACCGCGCGTATCTACTGCTCACACGATCCAGGTCATCATTGGGCGTCAATGTACGGGTTCCTGTTTTCAAAACCGTATGCTCATGCCCTGCCAGAAGTAATTGCGCCGCATTCTTCTTTCATTTATCCTCCGGCTGACTATTTACTGGATCAAAACAACGTGTCTCCCATCCCACCTCGCCAGGTCACACATACGCCATTCGTTGGTTGACTTTTACAGATGCGGCCGCATCGAAGGTTTGTTCATATTTTGACCCGTGTAACGGAGGATCCATCTGCAGCTGGCAGACGTGCATCGGATGATCGGCGCAACACCTACTGCTGTCAATTTTATGGATGATGGTGTAGAGGAAAAAGCTCAGGCCACCATGTTGTAACCACCAACAAGAAAGGGGGTAAACATCTTGTTCATGAACGCAGCATTGCGTTATCAGAAGGGCATGTACAGCCAATTACGAGTGTGTCGCCAAGGTGCGTCGACTAGACTAAACCTACTTGCTGAACGTGCTCCTCGCAACAAGGAACAGCAAGTCACGCGTACTCTGTACACAAGCCGCTGCCTATCCCAAGCATCCGTGTAGCGCACCTCGTCTGCATAGACAAACCATAGGGCTACATCGCTGACGAACGAATACGTGCTTGTACCCAGCTTACTACAACACACCCACAACAGAGCGAGAGAGGCAGCAAAGGTGAGGTTGGTCCGAGCGTTGCAACATGTACTCCGTATTTGTTCCGGAAAATGTTCGGGCAGCGGCGGCGACCTCTTTGATACACGGAATGTCTCAGCAGCTCTTTTTGGCGATGCCGTCTCTATCTCCACGCAAGCAGGCACACAACACAGAGGACTCTGTCTCTCTCACCTCACACGGCACTTCCTTTGCCTGCTGGCAGCACAAGCTGGAGTGCACTCGGGACAGAAAGAGGTTGCTGGCTGCTGGGGGGACACAACCCTTATTCCCTCTTCATTCACTCTGCGGAGCCCCCAATCCCTCGGCGAGATGCGACGCATCGATGGGTGTTCCTACCTGCTGTATTGCTACAGAGCAGAGCACAGCAGCCCACCGGCGACAAGGATGGCGGAGTCTACGGAAGTGATCTCGTCCTGCCTGAACCTCATGCGGCGACTGCCGCCGAAGGACATCGAGAACAGCCTAGAGGGACTCCTGAACCTCGTCCCGCAAGTTACGGATGAACTACTGCAACGGGTCGATCAGGTACCATAAGGCTAGACCCAGGAGCGCAGCAGTGCCACGTTCAGCGCGCACAGCAGTCGACGCATCCAGCATCAGGAAAACATAGATATCGAATGATTTGTTCGATGTTCAACCGGTCGTTGTTGTACCACACACACACCGTCGAAATGCCTACTGCTGCTGTACCTGGAAATGTTCTCAAAGTTGTTTGATCTCGTCAGGAGGAGGCAAAGACACGCCCTCTCACCTCCCCAGCCCTGGAGCCGGCCAGGCAACGGGGTTGCACCGCCGCTTTGACACTCGTGGATATTACGACAAAAGCTGCAGAGACAAAACCAGTGACGATGGTCGAAGAAAAGTCCTTTGCTATCGATGGATGACTGCACTTTCTTAGTCTGAAGCCTCTTACACAGAGCAGTTACAGCACGACCAGGCGGGCACCGCAGGCTTGAAACTGCTGCGGGAAGTGTACAGAGTACAACGAGCATCCAGCGGTATGAACCATGTCCAAATATGAACCACTTCCAAATGGCCCATTTCTCTATGAGGCAATCCACATATCGCTGTCCTGTGATGTACATTCCACCCCCACCCCCTCCTCCCCTTACGTTTGTGCGAAACAACTACAGGTGCAGTCAACGTGCGTCGTAACATTGGTGCCCACGTATCGTTGCAAAATTGGCAGCAGTACTTGAGGTAGAACACGGGGAACATATCTCATTGAGGGATCTGCATGCTCCATGCAAACCTCGTGTTATCACTGAGGCATCTGCTCATATTTCCATGGCACCACACTCTCAACCCTTATCCTCGTCCTTGACAAGGTCCCCTTCCCTCACGCCCCGCTATCAACCGCTCCGAGACGCGACGGTTTTTTATTTGGAGCCGACAACAGCAACAACAAGACCAACGCAACGAACACCCCCCCCCGCGCGCCTCCCCCGCCCCGCTGCCAGCCGCTTCAAGAAGCGACAGACCCAGAGACCGGTCGACGCTACCTGCGGTGCGAGTACAACCGTGACGCGAGCTCCTACCGCAGCCCGTGGAGCAACAAGTACGACCCGCCCATCGAGGACGGTTTCACTCCCGGGGATCGCCTGAGACAGATGGAGGCGAGCGGCGTGTTTACGTGCAGGGGGGACTCGGGGGCAGGGGTGGTGTGATTCATGCACAGATTTATGGAGAGTCCTTGGTGGTGCAGATCATTCGCAGGAGAAATCTTGCCTGCGCATGAGGAGGAGTGTGTGTATTCGTCGTCGCGCTTGGGGCATTGCTTGTCCGATGCCTTCTCGTGTTGGCGAACAGGTTTGTATGAGTCTTGCGGCGTTTGCCTGAGAGCACCCGGCTGGGCTATCTAGGCATCGGCCAAGACTTACCGTATGTTCATCACGGCCTCCCCCCCTCCCAAATCCGTCTCCATGGACATGGCTGGCCTTTTGAGCCTCCCTCCCTCCTCCTCCACCCCTCTCCTCTCTCCCATCCTTCTTCTCCCCCTCCACACCCCTCTCTCTCCCCATCCTGCCCCCCCCCCCCCCCCGTTGTCACCCCTCTCCTCCTGCACTGCAGGAAGACGCCAACATGCTCCTGGACGCCTACCGCGAGGTGTACTTCTCCGGGGGGGTGAGCTCCGTGTACCTGTGGGAGGAGGAGGCGGACGGCGAGGCCGACAACGCCACGGGGGCTGCGGGGAGCTTCGCGGGGTGCTTCTTGATCCTGAAGCGCGTCGGCGGGGACGGGGAGGAGGGGCCGGTAGGGGCCTGGGAGAGCTCGCACGTTGTCCAGGTACGCCTAGGCAGTTCGTTATGGTGAAGAGGTCTGTTGCGCGCACCCCTTCCCCGCCCCTTCTCGTCTTCGGTTTGTTTCGGGTGAACACCTTGGCACAACCAAGTTGACTGACACAAGTATGGGTAGGGAAACGTGTTCAAACGTGACTCCGACTTTTGAGCATGGCGACACGTTTTCGAGACGCTGTGGCCTATCGTTGGTTCCTCTGGCGGGAGGAAAGCACCCTCGTGTAGGCGTTTTTGGTTTTGGCTGCCTCAGGAGCGTGCTCTTCTGTTGCGTTAGACGGCGACCGGTTGCGTGCGATACACTTTAGCGCCCGCGCTGAAGAACCTCTATTATAGTTTTGGCAGAGGCTGTGGTTCTCTCTGTATTCCTAGGGTCATACTGCGAATTGCCGCTATATAGGTTTTAGTGCAGGGGGTTCTGAACTGAGCTCACGACTGGTGCTCAAGTTCTGAGGCTTTGAGTTTAACGACGACCAACTTCTTAGCAAATGCCAAGTTGTCAAGTGTGGATTCAATAAGAGACTGTTACCCGCTACGTGTGCTCGAAAAATCACACTTGGGCACCACGGTGTCGATGAAACCCCTTGTTCTCACGCAGGTCGTGTTGAGCAAGAAGAATCCGACGCAAGCGACGTACAAGGTCAACACCACGGTGAGCTTTGCTGAGCTTCGGGGAAAGATGCTCACCCACCGACCGCCGTGTAAAACAAGTGCTTGGCAAAACAACATTAGTGCATTTCGTGTATCACACGTCTTTTCCCCCCGCGGTGATACGAGGTATAGTTGCTACGAGAGAGGGTGATTCACTCACCTTTTGCATGCCAAATCTTCTGCATGCCTCTCATGGTAGTGTTGAGCGATCACACCAATTTCGTGTGAGGCAGGAGGGCAAGTTCTCTCGCGCGTGACGCTGAACCGGTCGGCGCTACAACATTGCTGCTGCTGCTGCTGCTGCTGTCCGACGTCTCACCCCCCCCCGTGATATTCCCGTGCCTTTTTTAGAAAGTAAACATAACCTCACAGAAAGACTACCCGTTCGAGATAATACCTCAGTCGAAAGGGATGTGGTGAAGTCTTCTCAGTAAGTGGATTGAAACCGACTGGAGACTTGGCTTATTTTGAGTTTGTGTAAGCCTTACACTGAGTTATCAGTGATGCCAGTTGGTGCTAAGAGCAAAAGCACCTGTACAGGCGGATACATTCTTAACACATCCCCTATAGTTTTCTACCGGGTCGACGACAGAACTATCGGGGAGAAGCTCTCCGTTTTGTCATGTGTTATAGAATGTGGCCTTCACAGGGAACATGGCGCAGTGTCGTTTGACATGTGCCTTTTGTTCCAAACGACGCATAGTCGACTAACAGGCGTTACGTGACTTGACCCGAACCCTACAACCCATTCATTTTATTTTACGAAAAGCTTAGTAACAACCCCCCAAAACGACGACAAAATATGCGGGCAAGTGTTTGTTTGATGTGGACCGCCCAAATACCCCCGTACCACTGCCTCAGGATGAGCTAACCGCTCTCTTGAGCTTTCCCCTTCTCATCCCAAACCTCCCGATGTATGAAAAGCCACGACCTCTATCCATCACGTATCATCATCGTGCTGCTGCTGCTGCTGCTGCTGCTGCTGCTACGTGTGCAGGTGATGCTTTCGGTGGGCCCGGAGGACGAGGCCGTCGGGGCGACCAGCCTCTCGGGCAACCTGGCTAGGGAAAAGGAGGAGACCAAGACCTTCTCGACGGACAGCGACCACCTCCAAAACCTGGGCGTGATGATCGAGGCGATGGAGAACACGCTCAGGAGCGACATGGACGGTAGGAGCCGAGTCAGTCTACCACCACATCTCAGGACGAAGTGATTTCTTCAACCCATTTTTCAGAAAGAGTTTCGCACGTTACGGCAGGGGATTCTTGCCCTGCTTTTCGGGTATGTGTGCATCGTTTGCAACTACATCGAGTATTTTCGTTTAGGTATATTGCAACCTGTCACTTTCTCAAACAGACTCGTAATTATTTTTGCCCGCCCGGAACGCACCCCCCCCCCCCCCCCCCCCCCCCCCCCCTTCCCCAAACAAAAAGGAAGGAAAAAATGCCCCACGGGCCCCGGGCCCGGGGGAGCAAAGCCCCCCCCCCCCGGGGGGGCGGGGGCCAAGGGGCAAACGCCAAGGGGAGGAAAAAAAAAAAAACCCCCCCCCCCCCCCCCCCCCCCCCCCCCGGGGGGGGGGGGGGGGGGGAAAAAAACAAAAAACAGCCCCC